ATTTTTTTTAATTAAAGACCCGTTGCTTCAATAAGAAAAAATAATAATAAATGTAGGAAAAACGATATAAAACCATTGAACCATAGAAAAATACTCTAAACAGTAAAAAAAAAATACACTCCATTCTTTGGTGAACACTCGCCTATGACCAAATAAGGTTAATTCGCATAGAAGTTTCACTGCGGTTTTTCTAAAACAACAACCAATAGAGCGCGAATAAACAAAATGTATACAAATATTTTAGAAAACAAATTTTCAGACGATTGGAGCCACTTAAAATAGTTAATAAACCTAAATGTTTAAAAATTCTTATAATTTGCATGAATTTACGTATGTTTTGGGTAACTTGCGCGGATTGCTATAGACCCATAACTCTTGCACTGGTCGATAATTTGAAAAAAAAAAAAATTCTATAATAAAAAAAAATTAAATTAAAAATAAACATTTATTTACTGTCTCAAAGATATACAATTAAAAAGGAATTTCCCTAATTTTTAAAGGAAAAATTTATAAGAGCGTCTTTGTCCTGCGTTGCCAGTAGAATTCAAGATGTGATTTTCCGACTTAAAACAAAAACGTGTTTCAGAGTTAATATCATAAATGAGATTTTGAAAAAGTTTGCATTGAAAAGAAAAGAAAAATCCTTCGCTGACGAGGTAAAGCTGTATATATTGTATTGTATATTGGTTAAAAATTATATTTATTTTAGCTTTCCTAGTTAAAAAAAAATGGTATCAGCTGATGGAAATAAACTGTTGTGAGCACCACAAACAAGTAAAATTCACAAAAGCGCTATTTTTCATCAAACAACAAATTAAATTTCGTTCGACCTTCAATTTCGTTCAATTTTTATGCGTTGTAGGAAGTGGCCTAACTTTGGTGTTGGTGACATTTAAACGCTTTGAATGGTTTTTAATTTATCGATAATCCATTTGCTCCAGTAGCACATACATACATACATATGAACGAAAATCAATACTTATAATAAAAAAATACACATAAAGCTTGTCTATTAGCTCTAAATTGAGGATTATTTGTTGCGTAACATGTTAAATGCCAAATCAGCCCAAATGTAGGCAAAAGTTTTCTTCTGAGTTATATTCAGTAAGACATGGCATAAGAAGTATGTTTTCAAGAAACTAACAAAAGTAATATGTTGCCTACAATTAGGCGCACATGAGCTCATTTGGCAATACAATCTAACAAAAATTATCCACCAAACAGTTTGAAGACTAAGCACGTGCTTACACCCTTTATTTGATTAGGTAATGTATACGCACATCCGTTATCTAAACTTGTGAATATATAATATATACACACATGCATATACACTTTTCCGGGATGAATGTATAATAATAACAGCGTCGAAAGAAAACACCGTCGTTACTCACAGGACGACTCTCTTTCTCTGTTGTCTCTCAATGCAAAGAATATACTTAACAGTTTGCTTTTACAACGATTCTCATACTGGCTGGTGTACATATGTAGTATACATGTACTATTATATGTATGTATATTTACATAGAGCATAAAATTAATTTCCAACTTCTTAGAATTGTGTTTTATTTTTTATCTCAAATTTTAAGCTTTCAGTAGAAAAATAGATATATAACGTTAAATAGCAGCTCTTGAGAGGCAATGTACACTTCTACTCATTTAATTTACATTTGATTCTCTCTTTCTCTTAAGGTTATACACATCCAATACATTGACGAACCAGGACGAATGTTGGCTAAGAGCGCGCCATTGAATAACTTTTAGTTATGATAACAGCTTATAAGGACTCAAACTGCACGCTCCAAACAAATTCTCTTTCAACTTTGTCAAGAGCGACATTCGTACAAATGTTTTCATGCTTCCAATTGAGAGGACTTTCATTGTTATCAGCGCTGCCATCACTGGGGTGACTTATGTGCCGTAATACTACTTCATTACGAAATAAATATTTATTCAACAGAAAATTGGTATGAGAAAATGTAATAGACGACTCTGTCTGCATTGTTAGGTATCAGAATTAGAAATATCAATTGTGAAAATATGTGGCAAAGGAGCTTTCCAGAAAGTTCTAAAACCCAAAAAAATTTTAAATACATTTTTTTTTTTTTTACTCGTACATTTGTATGCATATTTTGTGACTCGAAGAAGGTTGGAATATCAAAAATGTCAACTGACAACTGATTTCTTAACGGGTTTATTCGGTGGGAAAGAGGTTAAATTATAAAAAAATAGCATTTTCTATTCATATTATTTACGCACTTCTAGGTATACGTTTGGAAGGGAATTTCTGAGATTTTCAAAGTAAAATATTCATAACTGTGACGTCACTTCCAGTGATCCTTCGAAAAAAAGTTGCGTCAGTGATGACACTTGAACTCATGACAAGATCATCCGAAGTGAAAAAATCGTGAAAAATGGAAATTTTTAGTAAAATTTGCTAGATATTTTTTTTATTAGTTATGATTGAAAAAACTTTTTGTCCAATTCCTCATGCAAGGTATCTCGATGACCTGTGTAAAATTGTATCAAGATTCGAATGTACAGTTTTCATAAAACCGTGTTTAAAGGTTAAAGCGCTGAGCGTTGAGCCTACCTGCATTTGAACGCGTACCCGGAGTGCTTGAAATGACTTGCTAAGATACGAACACATTTGAAGAAAAAAAGAAGAAAATAACAAACGTTTTTTCAGTCAATTAACGCCTGAAAGTATCAAGGATACCAAAACAAGTCACTAACCGAGCGGCTAAATAAGCGCACCTAATAGTTGTTGGTTAATAATGAATTGAATAAAACAATAGATTATATGGCTGAGTGGGAGAGCACTCGCCTGTTAAGTCAGGATCCGTTGGTTCGATCCCTGCTATAAGAAATCTGATGAGGAGATGTGGTGGTCTCCGAAAAAGCAGTCATTTCTACGATTTTTCTTTGTTGTATAACAAAAATATTCAATTCGTAGAAACAAACCAAGTCTTTAGTTAACTTAATACTTATATAAAAAACTATTATATAGCATGGCCGCAAAAACAAATTATAAAAAATTTCCATAGTTTTAAATTTCGTCTGGCCAGCTTTCGTAGCCATGACTCTGTGCATGGTAGCACTTACTGCTCACAATTGAACTGTTCCTTGGTCGAGAACCTCCTGTGGAGTCACACATTTCAAATATGAATATAAAATAGAGTATATTCCAAACGGGACCATAAGCATGCCCTTTGTCAATACGCCTGCCGCACCTCCGAGTGCTCAATCAAATATATTTCAGATATCCCGGATTGAGTAAATAAGTGCATAAGCAATAAAAACGTATATGTTGGGAATATTTAGAAATTGTAGAGATTGAAACGTCAAAAGAGATTGGCACAGCAACTACACAGAGGGCGAATCAATTATTGAATTGGGAGAGTTGAGGAAATTAGCCTTACACACAGCGGTCCGCCAATTCAAGTGGAATATTTTGGTTACTGGTTTTCATGAGTTGCTAGTAGGAAGGTCACGCAGCTGGCCAATAAAGCTGGCTTGAGAGCGATAGCTTCCATTGCGCCAAACAAAGAAATTAAGAACGATGATGGAAAATTGCTGGCTGTAATAGATCGAAATCGGTTCCTCTATCGATACAACTACAACTGCTGAGACGATGACACATGACGGTTTATTTAACTAACCAGTGGCCGCTCAAACTAACTTAAAGAGACGCATCAGAGGATATTATGTGAAAGGTGGAAATCATTTAGTAAGACACTTTTTCAGCAATTTTTCCGAAGAAATAAAAGTAACTTTGATTCAGCATTTGGTGAATTGATCAAAAACTAAATGAAAATGTCACCAACAACTCTCGTGTGAGGTGTTTGAATTGGAAAATCGCATTATATGAATTGCTGTCTATTAGCCACACGATTTATGCTGATTACCGACAACAATAAAGTAATGAGCTTGTAGCTTGCAATTCAATTAAAGCGGCTCAAATGCCTCAACGGACGCAGTGACGCATTTCAATAACGTAACGCAAGCCGACATAGAAGTATTGGAGTATTGGTGATTAGGCAGATAGAAGGAATGATAATTTATATTTTATTTTTACCTCTTATTAAAGTTGAGGCACTTAAGGATGGATTTAGAGGATGAAAAATCAATGAATACCTAAAGATCGCGCGAAGATCGCGCTGCATTGCAACCAAATAAGTGCACTCATGAGTAAATATAAACATATTTATTTACAGGCATATCTACATATATAGTACATGCTTGCATTTGTTGCTTTCCGTTTGTCAACGCATCCACAATCTCAGTGCACTGTAGCAGGCAGATATTTACGTATGTAGTAGATATGTTTGTTTGTAAATGCGGCGACAGACTAAAAAATGAATAATCTCGAAAATGGCAATTTATTTATAAAACACTACTAACTACTCTACACATACTACACACCCCACGGACAGATCTTCAAGACTTTTACACTATGCCTTCAGAATGCACAGAGGTAAGTAGATATGTACATACTATGTATGAATGTATGTATGAAAAAGCACATGCTTAGAATTCGAGCGCATTTCACACATGCGACGATCGACGGGGCTCGAGCGTTCGTTGGCCGAGCATTTTATATATCTACATATTATATTATATACATACATATGTATGTATGTATATTTTTAATGTATTTTAGTACGTTTAGTACACGTATTTAATGCATTTTTATTTGATTTCCTTTTTGTAGATACTTTCATATATTTACGTGTGTATATATTGTAACGTTATATATGCATATACATACATACATATATGTATGTATGTATGTATGTATGAAAATGAGTGTATGCCAAGAAGATTCGTTTAAATTAAAGCGACAAAGAAAAAATTGTGTTATTTATGTGAAAGGAAAATGAAATGCATTATTTTTTTTTTTTGTGTAATTATCTATGTATATGCGAATATCCATTATACATCATGCATGTATGTACGTGTAAATATAGCAATGAGTGGCCTAAATGAAGTTCATTTTATACCTTGTGAAATAATGTATCCGTAAGACGTACGACGGTCGCCTGGTGACCAATAATTTGGCTATGAAAGCTCACGGTGTCACACACACACGTAACGGAGAGCGAAATCACTGATTCTCACTTTATTTCGTTATAAAAGCGGAGCGCTCCTGCTGGTTGTACAAATTTTTTAATTAATTGGTTTTTTTGTAATTTTTAAATTTATTAAGGATTTAATTTTTTAATGGTTTGAGTTTTTTACGTTTTTAATTTTTTTTTTTTGATATTTTTTCAATGTTTTTGAAAACAAAAGTTTTAATTATTTTTAATAAATAGTATTTTTTTTTAAATACATATACACATACTTTTTTAATTTTTACAATACTATTTATTATTTTTCCAAATTTATTTTACTATTTAAATTCAATACAATTTTGTTTTTAAAATTTCTTTTTATTATTTAAGTTAAGCTAAAAATCATAAAAAAAAACTTTTTTCTAATATCATAATCTACAGCAATTTTGGACATTTATTAAATCATAAATATATAAATAAATTGTGAAGTAATAACAATAACAACAACGCAATCAAATGTACGTATGTATGTTTGTATATAAACAAGAGCATCAATGCATCAGCTCCAGGTGCCAGCGACGTCCATAAAAAGGTGCAGTTGCAATTGCATATACATATGCACATCTCCCTATATATATGTATATATATACATACGTATGTAAGAATTCGCGACTATCTCTGCGTATATATATATATGTATATGTATGCATGTATGTTTTAAGCTCATCTATGGGAATTGCCAAGTATTGACAACCAAGTACGCCTTGGCGCAGACGCCCAACAGAATTTGGTATCTACTTGTGTATGAGTATGCACACAAAAAAAGTAAGTATTAAAAAACGCCGTTTCGAATTTGCATAGGGTGCGAAATTTCGTTAAATGAATTTCATAACCATTTTCTTCTTCTTCTTTTATTACAAACTTTACTAGGCAAAGTCATTTAATGTTAAAATTGTATAAAAAATGATTTAATAAAACAGTGCAGAATATTTATTTATTATATTTATATCTATATTTGGTAATTATTTAGAACAGCGGCTTTTGCTAAAACTGTCCAAAAAATGATGGGGTTTTTGGCTAAATAGATGTATTTGATGATTATCTTTTCATTAAAAGTGGGGGAAAGCTGAATTTTGCAATAGTTTTATTGTTATTAACATTTAAAGTTACACTAAAATCACTAGCACATACATTACAAACAAATACAAGGCTAAAGCGATGTTGCCATACTGTGTAAGAAATTTAAAAAAGAGCAAGGAATGAGAGAGAGTATGGCAAAAGCGATGTTGCCATACTGTGTAAGAAATTCAAAAAAGAGCAATAAATAAGGCGGAGCAAGTGTGGGTCCGGCATAGTTTGTTTTTTTCGATTTATTGAAAGGAACAAAAACAAAAATTCTTAACATGAATAAAAACGAAAGTTCATATTATTTACATATTTACATACAAAAACGAAAACTGTTCAAAAATTCAAATATTAAGGTATTTTCATATCTTCAAAATTCATATTATTTACATATTTAAATTGTAACCGGACCAACACCGGCTTCGCCTTGCACAGTACTCTTAAGTGAAACTCCTTTGTAAGTTGGCGGCCTTCGGCCGCGCTTTGGATTGTAACCCTGGGCCGGACCAACACCGGCTTCGCCTTGCACAGTATTTTTAAATGAAATGTCTTTATGAAAAATACTGTTTAATTTATATGTTATTTTACATGCAAGCCAATATGAATTTTCTTTTTTTATTCATGTTATGAATTTTCGCTTATATTCGTTTCAATAAATCGAAAAACTATCAATGCAGGACCCACACCTGCTCCGCCTTATTTATTACTCCTTTTTAAGTTTCTTACACAGTATGGCAATGTCGCTTTCGCCATACTTTGTCTTATTCATTACTCTTTTTTAAGTAAGATATGGCAACATCGCTTTAGCCATGTATTTGTTTGTAATGTATGTGCTAGTGATTTTAGTGTAACTTTAAATGTTAATAACAATAAAACTATTGCAAAATTCAGCTTTCCCCCACTTTTAATGAAAAGATAATCATCAAATACATCTATTTAGCCAAAAACCCCATCATTTTTGGACAGTTTAAGCAAAAGCCGCTGTTCTAAATAATTACCCTATATTTATAAGTATTTGGCATTTATGGCATTATTGAAATGAATTTTGTTACGTAGCAGCGCAGAGACATGAAGGATACATCCGCCTTTCGCACTCCCTATATTATATCCTACATCCTGCCGAAACTACTCCCTCACTTTCACCACGCACATTTGAGCATACACGTACATACACATGCATACATACAGTTGTCCTCTTGATATACACTACTAATCAGTATACACAAAATCCCATTAGGACACCGAGCTGTCACATACACACACATACATACATACGTACATAAATCACAAAAAAAATAGTTTCTTTTTGTAGAAATTCTGACACAATTCGCGCAAAAACTATAAAATTATTTGAAAAAAAAAAAAGAAAATTAATTAAAACATTTGGATTTCATTTTAAATGCTTGTGTTGTTATTGTTAATATCAAATGGTCACAATTTATATGTTGATTTGCAAAACAAAAATATAATATATGTATTTATGTATATATATATTCAATTTCATTTGGCACATTATCTATTTATTCCCGTACTTTTCTTATTTCACTTTTTATTTTGGTATTTTTGAATTTTCTTTTTTATTTACATATATATGTATGTATATATATTTTTTGTATATATTTTACTTTTGGCTACTAAAGCTAAGGCAAAATAATAACTAACAACAAACTGGCACAGAAGTGTTGCAATCGACAGTAGAACAACGACTCAATCGGGTGAGAGAATTCACATAGCCAGCAACCAGTCAACAGTAGGCAAACTAACCAAAAACGCCCGTGAGAGTTGGCGGCGTTGGAGCAGCAGTTAACAGAAAATTTCTATTTCTAGCTTTCACATGTAGTACATGTATGTATATATGATTGTTTATATATACATATTTATATATATGTATATATATGTATAGGTATCTAAATGTAGATTGACGAATAGCGGTGTAGAGCGCCAAATAAGAAAAGCGTTTCTCAAACAGTTCAGCTCTTGGAAAAGAACATTGCGAGTTTTCTTGGTGGCTCTCAACATAAAAAAAAAACAAAAAAAAAAAAAAATACAACACCAACAAAACAACTAATGAGTACACGATTTTCATGAAAATTTTCTGGCATACGAGTGTATGCACGTACATATTGTAGTACGCTAGCCATTAAAGTGAGAGTGAACTTATAGTACGAGTATCTCACAAAAGTCACATCGAGCCGCTTGTAGTACTCGGCATAGGCGGCATTGTTAGGGAGATATACTCGTAGGTACATATATATGTATGTATGTACTTAGGTGTGTATGTATGTATGAAGGTACATTATATGGGGGTCGTTAAGGCGCTATATAAATATGTATGCATGTATGTATGCATTCTTAAATATGTTTCTTTGTATTTTGCTTTAGCCAAAAGCTAGGACAAAATCTCTAACAGTGTGGGAGGCGCAAATGAAATGCCAAAGTTTTTGTTTTTGCATGAAAATAATAATTGAAATCATTGACAGTACAGTATGAGTAATGTAGGTTCACATTACTTACATGCATGCATATATGTATATTATATTTATATGTATATACTGTATGTAGGTACTATTACGTACTACTTTTATAAGCAAACATATGTACATACATACATACACACATATGTATTTACTTAACAAAAATATACAAAAACTGATTTTTAGCTGGCCTTGTAAGCGTGACAATACCACCTACATGCCCTTACATATCAATATGTACATACATTTGTACATACGTATGCGCCCATACAACCCCTGACCCAGTGATAGCTGCTGTATAAATTCACTTTTCATTGTGATTTGGCGTTGGCAATGCAAATGAGTTAGAATATGAATAAAAATGAAGTAGGCTCTGTTAGGTTGTATGTTTGGCATTTCATTTGTTCATACATACATACGTGTATATATGTATATATTTGTATATAAGCGCGTAAATGTATGCCAGCGTACCCCAATGGGTTTGTTGATACGAACGAAAACAATACAAGTCAAGTAGACAAGTGTATGGGCCAGCTGCAGACCGCCACTTGCCCGGCTCCATGTGAGATGCTCTTTTACTGGCTTTTCAAAACTCAGCTAACATTTTGGACTGCACACGTGCGTACATATGTACATACATAAGTTCATAAAATATATATTTTTAAGTAAATATACTATAATGTACATATATGTATGTATATATATTTGGCTATAAGTATGAACATGTGTTTGATATTAGTTAGCTTATATGTACACAAACATACATACATACATACATATGTATACGTGTATACAATTGTATGCATATAACCGCTGTATTAACCTAATAACAAATGCGCTGCTGCTCTCCATTTAACTACAGCCGACGACACGGCAGGAAAACATTGAATAATCACGAGAGAGTTGTAACTGAGTGTGGTGGTCACAAAGCGTTTTGTATGCACGTGTGTCGACTGTTGTAGCTAGCTATGATGTGAAGCTGTGTAAATAGACTTAATAAATTAAAAGTTCTATTATCATTGCTTAAAGTATGGGGAATATTAAAGTGGTATGTACATATGTATGCATGTACATATGTATATTGTAATATTATATTGTATGTATGCCTGAAAGCCGTTTTAAACTCGTAAAATTTTCATATAAACATGCTTATATACGTACATATTTACAAGTAAGCATAGTGTAAATAACAAATCTGAAAAAGCTCCAAAAATTTATGTACCCACCTTCATATGTACATACATATTATGAGCGTATGTATGTATGAACATATTTATGTAGCTACATTATTTAAATATACATAAATGCTACCTCTTTTTCAAAAAAAAAAGCAAAAGAAACAAAATTAGGACAAGTTCGGATATCCGCGTAGAACATTTGCCACACAAGTTTAACCGTTAGACAAGAGACGAAAAATTTTATGCAGCCGGTTTACAAAACTCAGTTAGTTACGCTACAAACAGTCGAGCAGATAGATATGTAGAAATTTATGTTGATTTCAGCTTATGTACATACACATATTGCATAAATTAAACAATTCAAAAAAAAAGCGTCTTCAATCATAAAATATAATTATATAAAAGATATGATTTTTAAATTTATATTGAAATTGGCAATATTAAAATAAATGTATGTATACGTTCATACAGACGAAAGAAAACAATTTAAGAGAAATATTAAAAAAAATAAAGAAAAATATTTAAAAATTAATTAAACAAATTGAAGTAAAATTTTTGCAAACTCTTAAATGATATAATTTTTAAATTTATATTCACTTGTCATGGGGAATATTTAAAAAAAAAACTTCTAAAGATTTTTAGAGCAAATTAGATTATAAAAAATTAAAATTCGAAATAAAAGCAAGAAAAGTAAAAGATTTAAAAACTAGCTAAAAAATTTTATATAATTATCATTTTTTATTTCAATGCAAAGTCCGATTATTTAAAGGGCATTCAATAAATCAAAAACAAATAATTTTCAATGTAGTCTAAAACTTAATTATTAAAACTTTTAGTCAAAAAGAGAAAGGCAAGGGTAAGTTAATTTCTTAAAGCAATTTTTTTTTTTTTTTTTTTTTTTTTTTTTTTTTTTTTTTTTTTTTTTTTTTTTTNTTGATTTTGCCAGAGAGCGTGTTAAAAAGTGAGTGCATCTCTTCAGTTTGCATTTTCACTCTCTCCTCCAAATCTCGTACTGCAGTCAGTAAAGTGGGGAGAGCATTATTATTGTGATCGTCAAGCTTAAGAGACTTGGCGAACGGTGATTCTCTGCTAGCACGGCGTTTTAGGCTGGATTGGCTGGCTGAGGTGCTCATATTTATTTAAAAAGTAAACTGATGAATATAAGCACAAATACAAAAAGATATACAAGAAAATCAGCTTCAACGGGTAGACAAACAAACAAACTGTCTCACTGAAACAATACCAAGAATTTTTATTTAAAATGCCACCGAAACAGTATTAAACTCTCGAGCGTAGACAAAACACGTCCGGCCGCAATGACTTCACAAAGTAGAATTATAAAAATAGTTAAAACACGGATAAAAATTATTAATTACAAAGTTATTAAAATTTGTATATTAAAATTTTTAATCAAAGGACGATGGGTTTAAGAAATATTCATTCGTTTTTTAACATACTTATTAAAAGAAAAAAAAAGCTAAAAATACCGCATTTTATAATTACAATCATATAATCAATTTAAATTCAAATACATACATACCCAGCAGTTATATAATTTTGCAAGCTTATTGCAGTTAAAATTTTGTTAATTTTCTTTAGAAGGGCACAACAAGCCGCAGTAACGAGGAAATATAGTAATATGGTCATATATTCATATATGCATGTATGTATGTTTGTACATACATACATATATATATTTATATATACATAGTTCTACGCGGTAGTCAAAAAATAAAGAACTTAACCCGATTGTATAATACCAAATTAGGCTTTTGCAACTGCTGATTATTATCAGAAAATTCGGCAAAGCAAGAAGTTCTTATGTTCAAGTGCATATCGAATTTCTTTCTCTTCGAATTGCCTGCTTGCAGAGTAAAAAGTAATAAAACAAAGAAACGACACCCGTAAAAATTTCGCTTTCGCTCACTTTCTCATACAATGCATATACATATATACATATATATATATAATAAAATATTTTACACAGTTTCCGCCAACAAACACATACACATATACAAGCTTTTCCCTCATCATCTTTTAAAGCTCGATATCAAAATGCAAACTTACATAAATATATAAATACACCAATACACACATACATATACTTCCCGTAGAAGGCAGTAATCAAAAAGTGCAACTAACGCCAAATGAACAACGTCCAAGTAACTCCTACATACATAAGTACATTGCACACCACCCGGTTCCATGTACAAGCTCTCTTTACGGTTTCTCTTTTGTTTTAAATCCCTTACATTAAAACACTGCATCCTTGATATACCACTTCCCCACCCACAGGCATGCTATACTCGTAACGTATCTAAAGACTACGGTGTGCCTCTCTCTCTCTCTCTATCTATACCGCTCTTTTTGTCTCTTAGCACAGTAATCCAGTAAACTACCAACCTAATGACACCAAATAGAGATTGGACAGTTCGCGTGTCTGGTTGACAACTCACTCGGATGTTCGTGCGCTGATTATCCAGCAACTTAACAGAAAACCAGTAACAAATGCATTTAAAGCATTCCAACAACACATAGAAGGAACACTTGTTCTAATCCAATCTCTACAGATACATAACTACATGGCATTTGTGTAAATGTACTTGTATATGTAGTAGGTTTGCTTGTAACCTTATATAGGTATCTGCACTTCAGTGTGTTTGACTCAGGAAGTTTCTCTCATCAACGATAAAACTTTACATTAGTTAGTAGATCAAGAAACTGTCTAACTTGTAATTAATTCAAGTCACTCGGAAGGTAATAAAGGATGTTCAAGTAGTATTAAAGTTGCTAAATTTAAGAATTTGGTTTTTCTTTTTTTTTTCAATCTTCTTATTGATTTAAAACGCGTGATTCATCTAGAAATATACCTGGTGTACTTCCGATTGCTTTGAAAGGCCTCAGAAATTAGAGGTGGTAATCTACTTGTAATACAGACCTCAAAATAGCTAAATGAGCTTCGAGAAGAGCAAATAGATTTTAAGATCTCTTGTATTACAATAAATCGAACGCGTTTCTCTCTTTCTTGGGCTATATAAAATCTCGGTATTTCTGTAAGTGATAGTTAATTGGGTGGCGTAACATTCTACATGAATTTGAAAAGGTTATAGATTTGCGAAGCTCACTTGCTATCCAGCCGGGTTATTTAGAAGAGCCTGTATGCTTGCCCATAACTTTTAGAAGAAGTTATAGACCATTGTCTACCTATTGCGCTCGAGCTCGACCTATGAAATCCGATCATATCATTTTATAAAGTGCTTCCAGTTCATTCGTCATTTTTTTGGTTACGTACATCTTATATGTATGTACATAATGTATTTAATTTCGAGGTAAATGTTTTAAATCTTTCCATTTGAGTCCATATCTATGTTATTCGAATAGTTCATGATGTTACATGTGAGTATGTGCATACGGATGCAGATGCAATCGTTACTACCAGACTACCAGTGCTTTATAGGCGGAACATGAATATTTAAATCTTCTTTCTGAAAAGTATTGAAATTATACATATTAAGCTATTACATAAAAATGATGAATTTTTGAGACACACGCCCACTATGTATAAATACATAGAACTCATACAAATTTACATATCCAGGATGTATAATCAGAACTATAGAAATGCGATTTTCCCCCCATACAAACACTAGTACATACACACTCGCTTTACCAATCAGACAACAATAACTTCAATGTAGAAATGGTAGGCGAAGTAAAGCTAAAAAAGAACGTTAGCAAAAACAACAATCACGCCGACTTACGCCACCAGCTTGACATAGTGACCTAATTCGAGATTCGATTACTGGTTTTCTCGGACAACATTTTCTTCATGACAACTGAAATTCTGTATGCAGCGATGGAAAATTTGTCTACCATTTTGCAAAATTATCTATTTCCTACATATTTTATTATTGAAATTTTGTGTAGAACTAAAAGAATATGCCAAAAATCATATAATATACTCCATGTGATCACTTACCGTCAAATTTCGCTGTATATGTATGTTTTATTGCTCTTAACTGCTTTCGCAGGAAAATTTACAAAACTGTATGGTTGTCAAACTTTTATTAGAAAATATCAGCTATAAATCCTAAGATGCTCAATTTTTTCTTCTGAAAATCACAATTAATTATAATTGGAGTAGCAAGTTATGTTATGATCTCTCACTGTACGCTTTTGCTTTATTTTTTATATTTTCGCTATCTGCTTTGCTGCAGACATTTAAGAAATATTGTGCTGCCACGCTTTGCAAAGAATTATGCAACCAATGTTTCACTTTTGCTTCTATTGTGAATTGGTGTTTCATTGCTCCTTATTCTGTGTTTACATATATCTCGTTTGCAATTAGCATTGTATTAAGCTTGAGGGGATACAATATAGACTACGACGGGTCATTCAGAGTCTATTCTCAAAAAATGACGATTAGGCATCACGACATATATGTGTCAAAAAAATAATATATCTTAGAGATCATTCATAAACCACGTAGCTCCGCCCAGAGAGGAGAGGAGTTCGTTTAAGTTCTCTGAAGTTATTATAAGTTAAAATAATTATTTAATTAACTGTCACTAAATATTTATTAAGAGGCATGATCTATATTAAAATACTTACAGCTTACATCTAAATTATTATTGTTCTTTTAAGTTAAATTAATGGAAGAGAGGAACAGTACTTCATTTCATTGGGCAGGGAATAAAAGGTTCAAAGAAATAGCTGGGTTTGTCTAATCCCTCAAGAACAGTAATGGAGAAACAAGCGGTGCTTTGTTGCAGTCATTTGCATGTTCTATTCAAAGAATATGATTGCATAATATCAGTCTATTAAATTCATCATTAGTTCCACTAATGGTCCCTCAATTATTTTGCAGATAATGTTAATGGAGTTAATTTATTGAACACGAAGCAGATATTCACTCATTTTCACCAAATAAATCAACATCTTATTAGTTTTCCCCAGAGAAAAACATACAGCTCTATCGTAATCCAAATATAGAAACTAACTCACCCTGTATAACAGCTGTTTAACGACATTTCGAATTGAAATCTTTTTCCTACTCTACTACTCTTCATCCATATCACCCTTTTTCAATCGGAAAATGCAATCAAAAATAAAAATTTCACGTGTTACAAATAAGGGATTGCATTTATTGTTCAGCAGATATGGAAATAGGATTTCACTTTGCCAGAAACACACAACTGCAGGTAATGACATAAGAGTTTTCATTAACAATTTATATTTTGAAAATGAAGATTCATTCCAGCAGTTGAGCCATTAGCTCAAGGCTATGATCCGGCAGTTGTGGAAAAAGACAAATATGTTTTTCGAAAAACACAAAAACATGGTGGTAGCAAACACGGGTCATATCGCATGATACTGCCACCACCCAATGTAACAGGAAATCTGCATTTAGGCCATGCTTTGAATGCGACCATACAAGATGTCATTTGCCGGCAGCATCGGCAATCAGGATATGAAGTTGAGTGGATACCAGGCACTGATCATGCGGGCATAGCTACACAAGTTATTGTAGAGAAAAGTTTATTTAAAGAACGTGGCATTACACGACATCAGCTTGGACGTATACCTTTTTTACTGGAAGTCTGGAAATGGAAGCGGAAAAAAGGGGACAGTATCATTGAGGATTTACGAAGACTAGGTTGCACGCTCGATTGGGATAGTGAATACTTTACAATGGATGAAGTAATTGTATTTTAATATAAAAGAAAGTACCCCCTCACTTTCAATGTCATTGCAGAAACAATCATACGCAGTCAATACAGCTTTTATTCGGCTTTTCGAAGATGGTCTCATACAACGACAAGATTCACTAGTTAATTGGTCATGTGCGTTAGAATCAACAATTTCGGATATAGAGGTTGATTTACTACAGTTAAATGGACCAACCGCGCTCACTGTACCTGGGCACAAAACCAGCGTCGAATTTGGACGAATATATGATATTAAATATCGCGTAAGTAATTCAAGTGATGAAATAACAGTCTCCACAACACGACCCGAAACTTTGTTGGGCGATGTAGCCGTAGCGGTACATCCTCAAGATCCAAGATACAGTAAATATCTCAACCAAGATCAAGTGTTTCTCAAACATCCTTTTCGAAACGAACATATTCCGCTAATTTTCGATGTAAAAGTAGACAAAGAATTTGGGACCGGTGCCGTAAAAATCACACCTGCACACGATCGTAATGATTACGATATGGCTAAGGACCATCTTTTGGAGCCTATACAAGTATTCACTGAGCAGGGTACAATTACCGATCAGTTTGACGGCTTTAAGGGCTTACCAAGGTTCGTTGCACGCCAACTGATTTTGGATAAGCTCGCAAATCTGGAACTTCTGGGTGCGGCGAAACCTCATGCCATGGTTCTGCCCATTTGTTCACGCTCAAAGGATGTTGTCGAATACATGTTGCGACCACAGTGGTTTTTGCACTGCAAACCTCTGGCAGAGGCAGCAATATCGGAAGTACGAAGTGGTCGGCTAAAAATTCAGCCGGAAAATTTTGAGCTTGATTGGTATCGTTGGCTTGAAGGATGTCACGACTGGTGCATATCGCGTCAATTGTGGTGGGGACATCAAATACCTGCTTACCTAGCCACCGATGTTGATGGCAACACTTGCTGGGTAGCCGCACACAGTGAAGAGGAAGCTATAAAAATTGCGCGAACAAAACTAAAAGCAGAAGTAAGCACCATTGAAAGAGATCCTGATTTATTGGATACGTGGTTCTCTTCGTCACTGCTGCCTTTCTCTGTATTCAATTGGCCTTCTTCGGAATATAAAAGTCGATATCCTTTGGACTTAATGGCAACGGGGCATGACATACTCTTTTTCTGGGTAGCCAGAATGGTAATGTTGGGTTTGAAACTCACAGGAGAGACCCCATTCAAAAAAGTACTACTAAATGGTATTGTGTGTGATGCGCATGGCCGTAAAATGTCCAAGAGTCTGGGCAATGTTGTAACGCCGAAACAAGTTATAGAAGGTGCTAGTGTTGAGGTATGTATCTTACTCTAATGAATATTAAAAATGTATCTTCTTTTAATTATTTTTTTTAGAATCTACAAGCGGATCTGCAACAATCCCATGATGCTGGTATACTGAGCAAAGAAGAACTGAAAAAATCTTTCAAAGGTTTACAAAAAATGTTTCCGAAAGGAATACCACAATGTGGCACAGATGCACTACGTTTCACCCTCTGTAGTCATAATATAAAAAGTCATTTTATTAATTTTGACGTGGCCGAGTGCTATACAAATAAGCTGTTTCTCAACAAAATCTGGCAAGCGACGCGTTATACTATTGGTGCGGCTGAAAAATTGAATTTACCATTGGCGGATATTGAAACATTGGGAAATTGTCCGTTGGACAAGTGGGATCGTTGGATACTCAGCCGCTTAGCGGACACTTTGACAACAGTTGCTCAAAGCATTGATCAACACGACTTTCACATGGCGACTTCATCCTTCAAACAATTCTTTTACAATAACTTGTGCGATGTTTACCTGGTGGGTGTACATTTCATGACCTCTCATTTCCTTGCTTGTAATTTAAATTTAATTTCTTTGTTTCCTTAGGAGACCACAAAGCCAGCCATCAATGAAGGTACCGCCAACGGCTACATCAACTGTGCCACGCTCGCCACCTGCTTGAGTTGGGGTCTACAAGCTATGTCTGTGTTTACTCCCTTTATTTCCGAAGAGTTGATAAAACATTTGCCTCGCGGCATACATTTGAACTTGAGTAGATATTTAAATGCTGACATCGAGGCAGAGATTGAGGTGATATTGAGTATTTGTCAAGCTATACGCCAGCTGAAGAGCCAAAACAAGATATCGAAAAAGCACGAACCTTGCGTTTATATATTTGCACCAGATTCGAAAACAGTTGGTGAGCTTGAGCTGCATTTGAAACCAATGACCGCGCTCACCTTGACCAAAGAGGTGTTTGTAGAATACGTAACGGAAAATAAATTAAAGCAACGAAGACAGAACTTTGAGTTCTTTTCAACAGCGGGTCATTACTGTGCTTTTGGTGCGTATATTTTTATGGAAAAATTATATTTTTTGTTAATTTTGTATTTATTTCTTGGTTTTAGGTTTGCAAGTAAATAAAACATACGAACAAATGCGAGAGCAAGTTAAGCCCGTTAGTGAATTGAATCAAAAGAAACTGGATCGCCTGCAAGCCGAACTGGAACGATATCGTATGCGTGTGAACGACGAGGGTTTTCTGCGTTCGGCTAGCGATGCGGTGCAGAAACGGCATAATCAAAAGGTGCGTATTGTTATCATGGAATTAAATAATTTTTTTGTAAACCAATAATTACTTTTCCACAGATACAACAACTGGAATTGGAAATAAAAAATATTCTAAATTTGGCCAGCTAAAATGTTATTAAAAAATTGGCGTAATGCAGATGGGTTTGTTAAGTTAAATTTGTTGTTGTTACCTTACTATAGCGAAATTTCACTATATCGAACATGTATGTTTGTATTTATATTTATGTAATAATTATGTATATACATATATATTAAAAAACTATCGTTAGGAAACCAGCGAAAACACAACGAATTATAAATCACAAAATTTATTCTCATAATTATTCCTAAGTAAATTTAATGTACTCATGTTACAGTGCCATCTACTACTTAAATATACTACTTAAGCTTAGTGTGTTGCCGTCCCCAAAGCTAACGCTAAACAACAGGACAGCTGTTCTGCGCGTACGACAGACGAAAACCGCGATTAGACATATCCAAATCCTCATTTCCATTCGTCACTGTGTATAGCACAAACGGCTTCGTCGAACTCGTCGTACTCACCAAACCCAAACCACAAAAACGATCACTTGCCAGCGTTTGACTATCTTGCATTGGATTTGGTATGATTATATAGTCCGTTGTGCAATCTTGACTCTGTACCGTTGCCGTGCCCAGCAACGAAGGATCGATAACGGCCACGTCATTTGTCAGCGTAAAGGAATACGCATCAGAGCTCACTTGACTCCATGTGATTGAGCACATGCCGGCGCCCATGCGCACACAAATACCATATTGCTGATTGGCAATTTGACGCGTACCAGGCACACCAATGGAGTTGGTCAGCGAGTTGGCGGCGGAGTCGTAATTAAAACTCGACACTGTGCCACTTGTGTCCATATAGTATTGCAGGCAGCCTGAGGGCGCTTGTGTGGCAGACGCGCAGCCGATCTGGGCGATTTGAAATTGCCATTGCCTATTGAAGGTGTAGCCGTCAGATGTTGCCACAGAAATAGTGATTGGTGATTCGCCATTAAAGTCGACGTACACATGTTGGCCGCTGTTTTCTCCACAAATAGTGGGTACACGTGATGCGCCTCCTGTGATAGTGAGCGTGTCGGTTTGACAGAAACCATCGCCGTTCGGTGGGGCTATGGATAGCGATAGGAAATCAATGCGCAGCTGACAAATATTGGCATCGCATGGTGAGACGACAATTGTGCAACTGAAAAGCAGAAATTGCGTTGCTATGAATTATTTTCAAACATTAAATTAATCGAACATGTTGTGCTTACCGCCCACCGCCTCCATACGTGCCCGGATAGCCGGAGTTATAGAAATATGTGTTGTTGTAACTTGTACTGGAGCCGCAGCCCATTTGATCTGTGCAGTGTATTTGTAAATATAACAGTAATTAAATTTGAAAATTTCGCCACAAATAACTTACAAATACAACAAACAGCCTGCGTTGTAATTGTACTACAGGTGCCTGCCGCTACTCCGCCGTTATCAGAGCATTCACCACGCACCACGCATGTACCGGACAGCAGATTAGCGCCCACGCAGACATCATTGGGAAAACGTCCAATAGTGTAGAATGGAAACCCTTTAGTAGAAATAAAAAAAAAATTGTTGAAAAAGAAAGAATTCTTGAGGAAGTTCGAGAAAGATTAAGATGGCGAGGGAGCTAATGATATATATATATATATAATAATTTGTGGTAAAAGTCAAATTTGAATTTCAAAAATCAATTCGGTTGATTCGCAACAAACTCTTAAACAGGCACGTTCCAGAAATACATGAAAATGTCACATTGGCCACGTACCAAAACCATAAGTACTCCGTTCAGCAATCTTTACATAACTAAAGTAACACCATTCTGCTATATACAAACAAAATAAAAATCGGCGAAAAAACTCTAATCACAACAAGCTGCTTTCGATTTTCTGCCCGACTCACAGTTCTGCATGCTGGGTTGCAGAGCACTTCAAGGTCTCTGACGTTGAACTCAGCAAATCTTAGTGGTTTATTTTTAGATTTAATGGAAAGTCCTGAGGAAAAAGTAATCGTTGGCCAGGTCTTGAAAAAGACGGTGAGATGATTGTAAAAATCTTTCTGAGCCGCTCGGTAACAAAGATTAAAAAAAAAAGGTGCATATCCATGTGTGTGACGTGTGACTTTAACGAAATCCTGGAATTGAAACTGAGGGTTAAACCTTAAAGTTGATATCTAAGGCTGAACCAAAGGCTGTTGCTGGGCGGCTTGGCTTCATTTAGCCTTTCCAATTCCAATTGAAAATAAGTAAAGAGTTGAGTTGCTATTCTGGATTCAAATTTAAATGCTCGAGGCGGATCTGTCTTAATTAGAAAAAAGAAAACAGGTTAGAGCATATAAATATGCTCGAATATTGATTCGAGTCTATATTGTACTAATATTCTAAGTAGGACTTTGGATGCGCTTAGGCGATGAAGTTAGAGATTTTTATTTTATAAATTCATTTATTTTTATACCGTGAATTGCATATAAGACTGTACGATTGAAAGTTTAATGCTCAACCAACAAAGGTTTTGAAAAATTATTAACTTTTCAATTTCATATTTATCAATAATAGCTTTTCTTTCGATTTCCGGTTCAGCTAAAATCTCATGGTTCCTAAAAGTATGCTTCTCTTTTGAGGTTGCGAATGCTGATTTAAGCATTTGCCGCGGAAAAGAAAACTATTTGTATTTAAATTTCAATTGAGTTCGTACACAATTTTGTTTTAATCATTTTCAGTAAATAATATTTCACTTTTAACCGATAAGTAATGTTGCAACCAATGAGTTTTCGGCATTGTTAGTGGGAAATTATCATTTTCCTGGGTTGATAATTATTATAATCATATGTCCAACTGAATAATTTTGAAATTAGGACAAACTTAACATATTTAGTTAACACATTTGGATGAATTCTGATATGCTGATATGCTGCAATGTTAAATTGTTATTTACACACACTTTTGAGTAATGGCGCACATCCCTTTTACGTATCAAAACCCGTTACGAGAGATTATAGCTCATTAAAAACGGAAGTGTTTCGAGATTATTAAAAAAAAAAAATGTTGATGGATATAAAAGAAATGTTCGAATTCTTCTGTGTATTTTTGTTAACACTCGCGCACACATACTCACATCTAGGAGATCTCGAATGTGAATGATTTTGAAGCATGTCAGTGGGCGACATCAGTGATTCGACAGGTGGATGTAATGAATTTTGTAATGATAATACTTGTGGATACTCATTAATATCCTTACACATCACATAACCGACAATGCCCAGCGTTATCAAACCGGCGAATAAAGAGAAGAGTGTCATTCTCATGTATTTAAATTGAATTATAGTTTCAAGAACTTCTATTTTCTTCGTTAAAATATTTTTTTCTTACACTCATAAGCACTAATAAAATGAAATTCGTTTTTTTTATAGTTTGTGTGATATTTTTTCTTATTACAAATTATTCTTCCGCTTTTAATTTAAAAGTGCGCTCAGTAAGAATTCACAAAACCAAATGTCTACTCAAGAATTGAGCCAGTGGATATGAAGCGTTTGTAAGAATTTGGCGCTGCACTGAGTGATAAGTTCCAAGCTTCTTTGTTATCGAAGGTGTTAATTAAAAATGATCATGTTCTGACAACAGACACTACCATCTGTGTGTATGTGTTTGAGTGTATGGGTATTTTTGTGTAAGAGTGTCGTTATGGGAAGTTGTGACTCGATAGCTTGGTTGATGGTAGAAAATGACCGCATTTAATCGGTCAATATATGAATATAGTTCAACACGAATTTTTTGTTGATATTTTGCTTTTAACACGGTCGTGACGAATATTCTGTTATTTTGTTGTTGCTTAAACACAAATTAAAGTTAATTATACTCGATTTTTTACTTTATTTCTAGAGTTGTGTTTGTTACATTGTACACTATAGCTTAGCATAGCTATTTGCGTAACGGTTTTAAATTCACTTGCTATATCAGAAAAGTATGACAAGTTTATTATAACATTTTACCACTGACGGCAATGAAAGGAATGTTGCATTAAAAAAGAAAGTTAAGTTAAATAGATAAAAGAAATTTGAATAAGAGATCAAACGGCACGTGGCTAGTTATACAAATATTTTTCAATGTAGGAAATTTCAAAGTAGCTTTTAGGCCTACCTCAAATAATGCAATGATAATAATTCCCCTTTCTCAAAATTTCGAAAAAAGTAATTTTTTGCAGGCTTAAATTCCGGACCCCTCTTTATTAACATATATAAAAAATGCTCTAACAGTTGTAAATAAAACATTAAACAACTTTTTCTGCATCGGAAATGCATAAAACTATGTATTTAATATTAACGACGTTTCATTTATAAGCTAATGTAACTGCAAACACCAAATTGAATCAGAGGTTAACACACTATTCGATTTCAATGACAGCGCCAGCTTTGCTTAGTGCCTCCTTAAGTTTTTCAGCCTCATCTTTGGGTATATCTTCCTTTACAATAGTCGGCGCGCTTTCAACAAATTTCTTAGCTTGCACCAAGTTCATGCCCTCCAAGAGGTTTTTGACCTCCTTAATCAACGCTACTTTTTGTTTTTCATCAAACTTAACCAATTTCACTTTAAAAGCGGTCTGTACTTTTTTGGGTGCTGCTTCCTCTTCCTCTTCTTCACCTGAAGCGGGACGTGCTGGTCCGGCAGCAAATTGTGGTACGAATGATGTCTCAGGCAAGTTCAATTTCTTTTTTAACAATGCGCTGAGTTCGGATACTTCCAATAAGTTTAATGCTGCAATACTGTTAACGATGTTGTCTAACTTCGGATTTGGTGGTTTGGCTACACCCTCTGGTGGGGGTGGTGTTAATTTCTCTGCTGGACTACCGGCAGCAGGTACAGCTTCAGCTGAATACCTTCGTACACGGCTACTGTGGCGTGTGAATTGACGCAGTGCTAAACGTGTGAAGTTCATGATGGTAGCTTTCCGATAGGCAAATAAACTGTAATAAACGTATTCTATTAATTAATGTTTTTTATTTTATAAAAATTTATATTATCACAACGTGCCTGTTATATCAGCGCAGGTTTGAACTGTCAAATGTACGTATGTCAATTTCTCAGTCGTAATGATCACAATAGTTTGTTTAGTGTTATTGTGAATTATTCATCAGTGAACGAATTCGTCACCACAACAAAAAACTACGATAAATTCAAAACAAAAAGAACAGCAAAAATTAAAGAGTCAAATGCTTACAAATAGGATTTGTATTTTAATACTATAAAGTAAAATAAATCATTTATAAATAAACTATGTCTGAAGAAGTTGCGGTGAAACAAGAAAAGATTGAAGGTATATCGGACGGTGAAGCAGCGAGTGATAAAGTTTTGTTCAAAAAGAAGCCAAGGAAGAATATTCGTCAAAGAAAGCCCTCAAATTCTGATGATGATTCGAAACCAGAAGAGGATATGTAAGTCTTTCCTTATAATTACTAATGTGTTTCATTCTAAAGTTTCCTCTCTTTAGTGCTGTGCTTGAAGAAATTAAAGAACGACAAAAGTTACGACAACGGCCCCATGGCGTTAGCGTTATTGGCTTGGCTTTGGGCAAGAAATTAGCGCCCGAAGAAGAAATCGCGATAGTAAGTAGTTTTCCAAAAGCTTTCCAAACTAATCTTTAATAAAAACTTACCTTGTAGAAAGATCCGTTTAATGTAAAAACTGGCGGCTTAGTTAACATGCAAGCTTTAAAGGCAGGCAAGCTGAAAGAACCCGAAGATGCTTATGATGTTGGCATCGGCACGCAATTCTCTGCGGAAACCAATAAGCGCGATGAAGACGAAGAGATGATGAAATATATTGAGCAAGAACTACAGAAACGAAAAGGTTTAGCTAAAACCAGCGCTGAAAATGAAGAAGGTGATCCAAATAAATATCTTACACCCGAAGAGGCAGCCTTGCTGGCGTTGCCCGATCATCTGCGGCATTCCTCATCGAATCGCTCAGAGGAAATGTTATCCAATCAAATGCTAAATGGTATCCCCGAAGTAGATTTGGGTATTGATGCAAAAATTAAAAATATTGAAGCGACCGAGGACGCCAAACAGAAATTACTTCAAGATCAGAAGAATAAAAAAGATGGACCCTCACAATTTGTGCCAACAAATATGGCTGTTAATTTCATGCAACACAATAGATGTAAGTCTTGTAAAGTAGATAATTTTTTCTGTTTTAATGTATTTCTCTTTTTTCCCAGTCAACATCGAGGACAATGAGCAAAAACGACGTAAACGCGATTACGTTGCGCAAAATGTCCAACAACAACAACAACATCAACCAAATCAACAATCAGGCATGGTGAACGGTGTAAAGCGAGCGACGGACGATTATCATTATGATAAATTTAAGAAACAATTTCGTCGTTATTAAATTAGTTAATTTTAAGCTGGAAATTTTTTCAATAAAAACTTACCTTCGATAAATCAACTTAATGCATTTCAATAAACAAAAGCGCTATGATGCCTTAACGGATAAATTGAAAAACAAATTAAATTTTATTGAGACAAGTCAATTAGAAATCCAATCGATTTTTATAAAAGCTATCTGCAACTAGTTCAATAAGTTAAGCTTCTTTGAAAATGTGGATTGATGGTTGTTTTGAAGAAAAAAAAGTTCAACTATAGGACCCTTACCACTTCCCGGCCCAGCCTTGTCGACCTTTCTTCGCCCATTAAATTCTCAATATAAAACGAGATATTAATATTGAAACAAATTTAATTTTAGCATGAAGAGTTCTTGCTCTTAAAGTATTTACAACTTTAATTGTCCTGCTAAAAGTTCACACTCGTCCACTACTTAATATTTTATACTGTTATGCAAATTATCCAAACTTTAACACAAAACCTGCAAACATGCACATATACTGTTATATTTAATCTTATGTTAACGACAAATCATTGTCGGCCCATCACACACACACCAACGGTCTCATATTTTAATGTATATATTTATATCTGAAAGCAACACCAACACACAAGCCCACATACTTTTCGCTCAGAGTTTCGTCAACTCGCACTTCAACCCCCACCCCCCCTCAGCCTAGTCAGCTGTATTCAGCCAGTTCATTGTGTTCAAACGATGCGGCTTAATAAGTTATTCAAGCATTACCAATTCGTGCCACAAATCGAATTAAGTACGTGACTCAAATGCAACGCTCGCCACAGCCAATAAACAGCTACACACATTAATACATACTCGTACGTAGTAGAAAACAAATAACAACAACGTTAAATATAAAAAATCATCAGTAAAATCAGCGTTAATGTTTGGCAAAAATGGCAGGAGGCGCGACTGGCGTCCTTTATGCTTTGGCATAAAAATGTAGCATCGTGAGCATCGCGCGGCTCTTCGCTCATCAACATTACATAACAGTTTGGCAACTAATTAGCGTAGGGTTGGTGGAATTTCAAATTCTAATTGTATACGTACAACCTTCATATATATTGATTAGTCCGTATTTAGTATTTAGTGGTGGAAGCCTCTCTGTTTTTGCATGTAATTGACTGCCAATAAATTAAACTTTTAATTTATTGCATTGAGGAAGAGAATACGGGATCATTTCATTAGCATCGCTAATTGGAAATTCCACTTTACACTGCTTGCGAATTGGGTTTGGTTCATTGACGTCCACAACTAACAAACATTTGTTATTTCTCAAAGGTCATAGAGGTTACTACTTCGCCGCAGAAATATTCAGTCTCTTAATGGTTGTATAGGGCCGAGTATCTGTAAGGCATATCGCGACCTTTCTGCAAAAATGGCTGTAAACCTGTAAAAATTTATTTTGTCCGATATTAAAACTTGATATTTGAACTCAACTAGAAATAAGTTAGGATCATGTAAATTCGAGATTCTCTATCTTTCAAGAGGCTTTCTTGATATTCTACTACTGACACCTATCCAGCCCTGCACAAAGCCCTTTGAGAATGTGAGGAAGTAGTAAAGCATATAATTGGCCAGTTATATCACCGACTTTTACCTGCGAAATCTACGCGTCCCTTTTTACTCAGTGGACGGAAGATTGCCAGCAGGATCTGATTGTTTAAGTCCCTAATGTAGAATCCAAAGATACACAGCCTACTTCCAACAACAGAGCCACTGGAAAGACAATGAGTCGTTAATAACAACTTACAAAGCTTTCATGAATTATGCTGGGCCGTGAACTAGCCAGACGCAAAGAAAGAAGTTGTCAAAACACTACCATGAGTAGCGCAATGGGAAACATTTATGCTCTTATTTTAGGAGCATAAAAATATTATGCCTCTTACATAGTAGGGATCAATCATGCAGACATGTGCCCGAAACAGAGCCGCTGCTCTAGGCACATCAGGAGGAATCAGGAGGAATACTTAACAGTTTCAGTAAACTCGACCTGCTAACGATCCTTCCGATCTCACTTTTACAGCATTTCTATAGCGAGAAAATAATGCCAACGGTTAGGATGCACAATGTGACTTCACCAGACACCTGCTTGAGCTACTGACAAGCCGTAAACGCAGTTTACAGAGAGCCATTGAAGTTCACTCATCAACTATAGGAGACTAACAGCTCGAGCTGCCTCCCGCTAGCACAAACAAGGCCTGGATACTGTATAAGATCCACTTCTTATTATCCAGATTCGACCCAAACATGCCCAATGTAAGTATTGCATTAAATTAGACTCTGCATGAAGCTTTTGTCTAGTAGACTGCTGGAACCTACTTTTTTAACACCCCTTTTCCTTTACCTCTGCTTCGAGTTCGTCGAAACAGATGACCTCGACTGCAGCGACTAACTTTGCCTCCTCATGATATCAACAGTCGTTGAACGTTATTCACAGAGCGCCAGTCAGCGCCTTTCTAAGCTCACTTTCCCAACAGAATATGTTCCCCTCTTGTAATAAACGGGTAGCTCGAGTAGTATCGTGATACTCGAGTGGTTTTGATTGAAATAGATTTACCTAATAATCATTTTTACTTGACTTTGATTGAATATAATTGGAGCTTTATAACCGTTGAAGCGAACGGTCGAGCTCCTTCTTCGATTCGGGTGCGCATCTTAATGTATTTTTCTTTAAGCCCTTGGAATCAATAATTTGTTGTAAGATGCCTTGGAGTGACTGCAGTGAGATGGACATGATGAGTCATTTATAATTCTCATTGTCTTTTCACGTATAGAAGACTCTACCTTTCAATCGTCCAGTGCCAAATAGAGTTTTATATGCGGTATAGAGCAGCCATAGCTCAAGATAAATGGCGCAGGCAAGTGGTTTCCCTTTCTTGTGAGTATAGATTAGACAGAAGACACTTTATATAATATTTTCCGCAGTAAACATGCTTCAGCATCTTCCTCTTATAATCGCATATAGTCCCGCGGAACTCCTTCCCTCGTTCTTCCATCGTCCATTCATATAATATATATCATACATATATGTACACATCGGGTTATTTTTGCTGCACCAATGTAATAACCAATGAAATATTAAAATAAATTGTTTCATGAGAAAATGAAACGATCGTCTGCGAACGTTCGTGCGGCTAGACATTCGACTCGACTGCTCATTTGACTTTCCACCACACATTGCTGGAAGGAACTGTTTGTAAAGGCTGCGCGTGGCGTACAATTTTCTGCTGATTTGTGCTGATTTGATTTTCTTATAATTCTTCTTACTTAAGCTTGCCAACATTGGACCGTCTACAGACCATCCAAAAGCATAAATACCAGAGGCGCCTGTCTTGGGCGCCAACGAAGGTCAAAGCGCAGCTAATTAGATTTTTGTTAAGCTGCAATCATTGTTGTAACTTCATTTACGCCAACGTCATCACCATTACTTTTCAACGCCTTCCAAGTTGCCAAGTGTGCCATACACTCACTCCTTGGCCACGACGCTGGTGCATTTGTGTTGGGCGTCGCGTTGGCAATAAAACACGTTCACACTTTGCTTTGTCGAAGTTGTGTTTTCGTAATAAATTTGTGTGTGTGTGTGTGTGTGTGTGTGTGTGTGTGTGTGTATGTGATGATAGTACAAATTTCTTTCGTTAGAGGTGTGTGATCTAAGGAATTGAGTACAAATGCTTTGCTGAAATTTAATTATTTTTATTTCTTTTTCTTCGATATGTTTTCACATAAAATTGTCCAAAAAGAAAAAGTAAGGAAGCCATATAAAGAATGGTTGTGTAATTAATCCATGTGGGAAAATCACATCCTCTGACAATGGCTTGTGTGGACCAGGCGGCACCGAACACGAATTGAAACTGAAAAATTAAAAATTAAATGTAAATAATTTTCGAAAAACCCAAAGCTTTTCGTAGTTGTAGTTGGGGAGACAGAATCGATACCGGCGTGAGAGTTGGGCGTACATTTTAAGCGTTTTTTCGAAGAGTAGTTGGTTCGAGTCCCGCCTTGATCAGCTTGCAAACTATTTCAATTTGCGATCGCTCCACGGCAGGAAATGTCAAGCCCTCCGAGTGTATTTGTGCCATGTAACATGAGACTCTTGGAAAAAGTTCATCATAAGAATCCGCTAGTCAGAAAAACTCGCAAAATTAAATGGAAAAGCAGCTCGAGCGGAGATCAGGCAAATCAGTCAAATAAGAAGACAATGCCTGTAAGCAGAGTCCCGCGCTTTGATGACTTAGTATTCGGTCTTAATGGCTCAGTATGCTTTTAAAATGGACACTGCGACAACTCTGGGGGCAACTCAAACAGAGACGAGGAAGTCCTCACTGGATTATTCTATTAACACCAACAACAATGTCAGCATTCAAAACCAACAGCGAAGAAACACCCGAAATATATGGCGATATTGACATAGATCACCGAATAAAGAGACAGCGGCTATACTGGCTGGATAATGTCCGATTGTGAATGAGAACCCTCCAGCTTTTAAGGTATTGATATATTCGAATAATGAAAAGAAGAAAAGACGACGAGAAAGAAACGGTTCACTGTAGTTAGCTCAGTGATAAAATACCAAAACAATAGAGTTTCAAATCCACTTAATTCAAGCTTAAGGTAAGAAGTAGATGGTGCAGCGAGCTTCTTGTCTTAACCAAACTACCGATTTGGCTTATCGCCCTTAGCGACCTGCTGTGTAATACTCTTCTAGCACTTTCTTTCTAAGAAGAAGAGTGTTAATATTAATTTTGACCACTCCTACTGTCTTCCATATCGAAAAAATGAGGTTCATTCTTGCAGGCGAAACTTTTTCAAAGAGGCTCTGGGCAATTTTACAAATTTCAAAGCAATTTTACTTATTCAACTTACCAATTGCAGGGTCGTGAGATATTTCTTCCACCAGAGAAATTTTTGAACGTTAGGACCCAGAGCACTTAATCCGTAATAACTGTACATAATTATGTGTATGAAAGAATTTATCAGCGATGGCACAATTGCTGTATGGAGTAAGGAAGAAGAAGAAAATTAAGCTTGACTAAAAGTTAATGGCTCTGCTCCACCCGTCCAAAACCCAACAATCCGCACTTACTCGAACCGGTGGGCACCCACTTGACAGCGATCCACCATAGCGGAAACATGGTGCCATGATGGTAAACATGAAGAAATGTTAATTGCGTGCGTTTTTTGCGTAAAATAAAAAAAATCGTATCGGAAAACTCCAGCAACTTGGAGAAATAGAACCACCAAACAGCGGCAGCAATCTGCACAAAAAACCAAAAATAATTGCGTTAAATAATACCGTAATTTTATGCAAACTTCATTTAGCACACACAAACGCGCCCACACACACACACACACACACACACACACACACACACACACATACATACCTTCAACTCCTCCTTTGCGTGTGATTCCCGACACGGTTGACACCAGAAATTATATTTCAAGCGAACACCATTGAAGAGCAACTCCTTGCAAATGTGCGCGTTCAGCAGGGCCATCAGAGTGTTGTAGAGCAAGAGCAATGGCTTCAGTTGTAGCGGTTTGTGTCTGCGAATATTTTTACAGTAACGGTGTTTTTTTATATTGTTTTTGTTGTTTTAATTTTGCTTTGCTGTGTGTGTGTTTGTCTCACCTTTCCATCCAGCGCGGCAGATAACGCACCAAGAGCAAGTACAAAGTCACCAGCGCCAACACATCCCCGAAAGATTCCACCAACAACCACTTTTGGGTGCGTTTGTCCGCCAAGTGGGCGTAAGGAAAGTGTGTGGCGTTTAAATTGAGGAGCTGGAGGAATAACATTGAGTTGTACTGAAGTAAATTTTTAGAAAATTAAATTTCGGCCTTTAAATTTAAAAGCTTTTCTTCTGAGTGATGCGCTCGTTTGGGCACCTCTTTGTACTAAATGTCTTAACATATTTGCAATACGCTTTTATAATGTCTCGCCTTTAAGGCAATCTCCATTTTATAAATATTTCTTTATTTTTTCTTTCAAATTTAGTCGTGCGATACACACAAAAACAAAAACAACAAATAAGAGTTATGGGCAGAACATTTAAATTACAACAGTGACCTTGACCTTGAAGGAAAAATGTCTTTGTAACAAAAAAAAATTAAAATAAATTTGAAAAATCAATGTAATAACCGCAAATGGCAATAACCGTGGACTAAAGCAGAATTGAAAAGTGATCTGAAGCAACCATGCGTAAACCTAGGCCACAAACATTAGGTCAAGTTTACTGTATTTCAATAATGTGAAAAAAATTACAACAGTCAGTTCATGGTCTTGATTGCACCCAGCTGATACCGTCATATTTGGTAACAGCGCCGAGTCTTTCCATTTTATAAAAGAGTATCTTCTCTTCTCAGACTCTTATATAGCTGATATCGTGGAAGCCATTCTGCTAGAGACCATATAGACTACAGTTATACCGCTCCTAAGTGGGGAAAGTATTATCATGAGCTTGGTTTCCTCTGAAATATATGATTGTGGTGAAATTAATATTTTCCCGGAGAATGAAAATGACCCTTGACAAAGTCAGCCACCGCTGACCTATATTTAAAGACGAAGCTAATCTTAAAAAAACACTTAATGTGGTGTACGGTGAATAACTAGTGGACTTCTGGCTGACCCATTTAGCGTCTTCTTCTGCTTGCTTTTCTTTCAAAAAATTGAGCTGCTTTGAATCGCCTTCGTGTGATCGATCTTCAGCTCTCGATCCTCTAATCTTATTGCCGAAAAATAAAAAAAATAAACTTTGAAAAAAAAACATGGGGATAAAATTTTGAAGCTTGACAGCCTCTTCTCGTTTCCTCGCAGATGGTACGAAGAGAGTAGAACTTCGAGATAATATATAAGTATCGTTGGACTCAACAACCACTCCATTCAATCTCCAAGTCCCAGGCGGGATAAGAAAGTAGAGCCATTGCATCGGGAAGTGCAAAAAAAGACTAAATAAATTCTGTCGTCAAATAAACTTACAATTGAACTTTTGAATTAACCCGAACGACAGGCTTTCCGATTCTGCTTCCGCAGATCACAGGTCGTATATCATCTATAACAAGGCTGATTGTTGCGACTTCAAGAAAATTATAGAAAATATCTTTACTGACCTCTTCAATTTGGCCGACAATATCATTGGCAAATATTTATTTCTCAAAACGATCGTGACGGCTACCGCCCGCGTTACTCCGGCCCACAGACGACAGTTTACGGCAAGCAAGTCACGAATTTCCCTTTACTTGGGAGATTCAGCAGTTGGCCAATCGACATAAGTGGAACATGAGGGGAAAACAATTAAATACCTGCATCCAATTCTCCGGAGCACTCAAGCTTTGGGACACTGGACTTGTTAAAAGCCCTTGACGTGGTAATTATGTAATTCTACTATCGAACATGGCTAATCCGCATTAACTCTGGGGCGGATGATAACGTCGCAATTACAACTCTAATCTGAGTGGAGGTTTTGCGTTTTTAATATTCTAATATCAACAGTATACTCTCTAATTTTAATTTACATATTCATTCTTAAATGTAAGAAGTCTATCACATAGAGGCCTAGCCACAGTACTAAGGTTGACAACAAAACTGCCAAAGAGCCGCCATATCTGAGTGCCACCGAGCTGTCATAGTAGTTCCCGTAGATGCCAAAAGCCAAAAGATTGTCCGCGGTAGCTTTCAGTTCAATTGCAGCCTCGAAAGATTTGCTGAAAAATGAAAAGAGTATAACAGCAATGAGGACCTTAATACTCAGTTAAAATAATGTAATTTAGTTACCCGTTGTCAACACGGTGCCACGCCACCTGCGCTGGCTCCAGCGGATAAAGACTTAAGTCGAGTGTATTTGGCATGAGCAGTAACCGTTCTGCCTTTTTATAGCTTCCACTAATATTCAGACGTTTGAAAGCATACGTCGGTGTAATTTTTATATTGGCTGGGTGCAAGAGACCACAACTAGAAACTGTGTCGTTGGTACAAGCATATATAGCGCAGATGGCAACAGCACTGTACTGCTCCTTCTGATATGAGCGTAAACCGGTGAAGACGCCGAAGCGGTAATAATAAACACTCGTTGCGGTTCCATTACCGTAGCTACGCTCACTTGTGGTCGTTTCGGCTGAGAGGGTACAGCAGAGCTCTTCGGTGCAAAGTTCTAATGAAATTGCGGAGGAGCTATTTAAGTCCAGTAACTCGGACTCGAAGTTATCCAGCTGTGGATCTCTTAGCAGGCTAATGCCAGTTTGTGGTTGAGTGGTGTCTTCAGTAAATGGTTTGACTGGAACTGATTTTTGACTACTTTCTTGATCAAACTTTGGCACTCTCGCTACGTGGATTTGACGAACACCCGTATTGCCAACCATTATCGACACCAAGCTGCCATAACTGCCTGCATAAATGCCAGAACCTGTGGCTCCTGAACGCGGATAACTACCGCCAGCAGCAAGCAGCGTGACATTGTTGCCCCAAGCCCAAGATTGTTGAAGTTGAACGGCTGAAAAAGGTTTATATTTTCATAGAACTCAAATCCATGTGTGTGTGTGTAAACATCACTCACCTGTTAAAAATGGCGTTTCCGAATAGAACATAGCGGTGAAAATGATATTTTTTATGCCATATTTAACCACCAACTCTTCGGCGGGCGTGTAGAAGAGCAAATCGAAGCAGATGAAGTGCGCAAATCGCACACCAAAGTCCGTATCGAATATGGCAAACTCCGGCTGGTAAGTTGTATTTTTCCGCTCCAAATAAATATTCACCTTGCGATAGCGCGAAATGACACGCCCCTCACGATCGAAAACCACATTTGTATTGTACGTATTTAAGCCATTTGTGGCGCATGGACGTGGATCAAATGCCGCATTGGACGCACAGTCCTCTTTCTCTGTCAAATTGATCACAACATATTTCCGATTTGTACGTGCGGCACAAGAGAGCGCGATGAGAAAGTTTTCATAGCGACTACTCTGGTTAGCCAGCAAACACGGTATGATCGCGTCTTCAGCCGCTGGCACGTAAGTTGGTTTGAATTCATTATTCAATGTACTCTCCGGAAAGACCACAATATCAGTCTCCAGCGCCTCTGCTGAGCTAAGTATTTCCGTATAAGCATCTGTGTGTTTGGCAACCAATTGCTCCGTTGTTAGGCCAATAAAGTCAGGCCGAAATTCAACTACGCCGGCAACAAAATATGGATCTTTAATATCTGAAGCCTATATAGGATTTAATTTGAACATTTTCATACAAAGTACCATATATTAATCTTATCTTTATAGTTTTTATTGCTGCTTCAGACAAATTGGCATGAAGATTACCGGTGGGCACAAGTACTTACCCGACTAACAGTCGCTTGCAGCGTGATGCCTAGCAAAATACCGGCAATTATATTGACAAAATATGGAGGCATTGAAACCGAACCGATTATGTCTCGCTCTGCAAATTTACAACCAACTGAGCTGGCGCCGGTTGCGGTACTACTAATTCCAATTCATTGCTTGTGGGGGTTTTAACGGTTCAACTAAGCAGAACAGAGTTCGACGTTTTGAGTATAATTTTATTGATTTCTCTTTCGTGCTCTTTTATTGCTACTCTTTAAAGAGATTGTGTTCACTTTCGGAACAATATAATTAGGCAAAGACTGTGATCACGGTCATATTTACGCGTCTGAACGACTATTTTTCTATATGTTTTAATTCTTATCGTCTTTGTTTTTTTGGGATGAGATTAGAGAAGTATTGGAGACTGAGCACCTGAGAACTTAGTGAAAAAAGAGTGAATTCCCACGAATGAGTGTGCTCTTGCATGGGTGCTGATTGACTAAAGAGTTTCTTCCTAATTGAGAATTCAATATAATTGGCACATTTTAACCGCTGAAGCGATTTTCCGCCGAGTTCCTTCCACAATTTGTGGAGAGCGTCTTGAAATTTTTCAACAAATGAACTTAAAGGTTTTTCGATGCTTCCTCCGATCCGTTGTTCGATTTTTAATATATATAAATAATTATTGAAGGTAGGTTGAAGGTAGAAAAAAGTAGTGAAGTCTTCTCTTATGTTAGGGAGTGGTATTTGCACTGAATCTGTAATCTTATATCTATTGATGGCGGCTATAAATTAATAGTCTATTTCGTTAAGATTTTTGAGGATATTTAATTGCCATAGTTCATAGTTCACCTCTAGTGGCTTGGAGGCGATCGGTTAAAGCTTTTTTCTAGCTGAGTGAGTCGAACTTATTCTTCAAGCTAACAGGTAAGAATTTGTGCTAACTGGTAGTACCTGGTAGTCTCCAAATTATGCTATGTCAAATTTGTGAGGGAGCCGGGGGCCAACGAGAATTTTCGCTTAAGGTTCGCAGCTACGACAATGGCTTTTATAAAGTAGATAAATTTTTGATGAAAGCCTCCCAAAATGCCCAGTCTTATTATTCTGGCTACAAACCTATGACCATTTCAATAAAGCATTTTTCCTTTTCCTGCTACAGTTGTATCAAATCTGTTCATTCTTTTGCAGTTATATATACGAGTATGTGAATTTCCATCATATCTGAGCTCTTGCCACAAATTGCTATTGAAGTTCATTCCTGTTAGTTCTTAATATGGGGATGTTCCTGAGTTGGTCAAAACGTCAGATTGTGGCCGGGAACACAGAAAATGGATTTAACACCTTCTTACAAATATTTACGATTGTCTAGTAAAGCATGCCTGCCCATACATACTCGTATTAACTAAACATGTCTCTATCTGATCCGAGGGTATCTAAAAAAATTTAACTCACAGATCAGTTACTGGAGTTATCGTCGTTTTAACTCGACGGTTCGATCTCTACATTTCAATGGTTATTATGCTTTAATTCATGTCAGAAATACACTCGGAGTGGTTTACATTTCCTGCCGAGGGGCGAATAGGTTTTTGGATGTTAGTACGACAAAGGATTTGAGCGCGAGCCTTCCAAATGGAAGTACGAAATGCTAACCACCCGGCTATCGCGGCCGTCGACCTCAAAAATTAGTAGCAATAATAACCACGGCCGTCTCTTGCTAGTAATGTTGATATCTCCGGATTCTCGACACGGAATTAATCACCATTTCGTGGCGGAAAGACTTGTCTACATCATCCATTGTATTATACATAAAAGTTTTGTCTGATAGCTTATACATTTTTCTTCAATATTTTCTATAATTTAGCGCATTTGAACATCCTTCTATGTACATGCATACATACATATATCGGCTTGTATAAACACTCGGAGTAGTTACCGTTATTTTTTATGCACACAGCTGCTTAAAAACATTTTTTTTTTAGCTCTATTTGTGGTTCGTAAATCCATGAAGCGGTTAAAATGTTTTTACGCTTGAAAAGAAAATCGAAACTATCAGTAAACCATGTTAAATAAAAAAAGAGACGTATATATTATACATACAAACATTCATGCACAAAATGCAAGCGGGTAAGGGTAATGATGGAAATGAATAGAAAATAACAACAAATAACCACCAAAATAAAGTGTTGAGCAACTCTATTCCTGGGGGATAATTGTATTTGAAGTAGTTAAATGCCCAGACAAAGTGTCGGCAATTAAATGCTAGATCATTTGAGATTTAAATGGTTGGGTTGCCATAGCGAATATAAACACAAAGATATTAAAAAAAATAAAATAAAGAAAGAATAAAAAAAAAACACAAAAAAAATTAAATAATATAAAGTAAAATAAATAAATAAAAAAATATAATAAAAATATAATAAAAAATTAATTAATTTATATAAACACTGTTCTCCTACTTTACACCTTTTTCACATAATTTATGTTCTACTGCCTCACCCTAAAGCTTCCTCCAGCCATTTTGAATATTGACTCAAAGAATTTTATAATAATTTTCTTTACCGCGTTACATCTTTATTGCCGGTTGGCATCTGTATGTAAGTGCAATTTCACCGTTTGCCAATGGCAATCATGGAACACCATACAAAATTGCTACATTTTTTAAGGCAGTATTTACTTTTGCAGTCAACACAGCTGCGTCTGCCATTCGCAATAAAAATAACACAAAAATGCCGACGAAAAGATGTACTCGAAGAGTCGTCCAAGGCACAGAGTTCCTATGAACTCTTTCATCTATGCATGCACGTGTACGTAGGTATGCATTTGTGTGGGTGAATGCAAGTACTGGCTGGCAGTAGGAAACGAATGTGCCTTTAGAAAATTAGAAAAATATTTGCCAATTTGGCAAAGCTGTCAGACGCGAAATTCGTAATAAGAAAAAGAAATTGCAGCAAAAAAAAAAAATAGAAAATTAAAAAAAATTACGAAACAGAAGGAGTACCTTGAAATTGCACAGGAAAAAAAGAAACACTCAAAGACACAAAAACTCGTTAGGGCATTTAGTTAGGAAATCTTAAGTGCTTGCATAAGAAGAGTAGAAGCTTTGATTTACGGAAGAGAATAGTGCATTTAGAAAAGAGTAGCGGGCAAAACCAACAGGACGAGAGTTTGCATAGCATCTTAAAGTAATTTACGATTAAAACAATGAATATCCTCTCTTGAAAAGTTTTAAGGAACCGTTTGCTTTTAGACACTCAAGATTTTTATCTAGTAATTCTTGCGAGCACTGAGTTCCTCGGCTAAACAGAAAGTTTTAAATCGGCTTTAGATACAACCTCTTGAACAGATAAGACTTCAACACTATATCGATTACGCTGGATTAGAGATATTTGATATCAGTTGTACCAGATTTTGCTCCAGCTGGTCGAAAGGAAAAGGTTATGCTCAAGGCTATTCTTTCAAAATCATTCGTATATTACCTTGGGCTCAATGATGGATTCTGATTCAGTTACTATCGAGAAATAGTATTTTCCGAAATAACAACATATTCTGAATTGAAAAATAGATAATTCGGCTTATACGCCAGTAGAAGAAGTCATATATCATGCTTCATTGTAAAATATAACAGATTTTCCTCTTTTCGAATATCCTTAATAGCCCGTTTGCAAAATCCAGCTGAAACAAAGTCCTTCCGCCTGCCCTAAATCAATCTTTAACTGAGTAATGCTAGCCGTAATAGTCTCAATGCATCAACCAACTTTATTGAAAATTAATTTAAAGACCAAAAAAGAAAATCCAATTGTGGCCACCCCTCGGTCAACCCCTTCGTGTGTATTTTTGACAAGAAATATTATATAAGCCTTCCTATAAAATTTAATCAGCATAGTAGTGCTCAGAGAGTCTGATCTTTGACCATGCGAAAATACTCCTAGTAAGGCCCAGCTAGCGGAATAGGCAACTAAAACCCAGTCTCGTAAATTTATTTGGCCAAGGACTGCGGTTACAGCGTTTCCTCTTTATTGGGAGTTATCTCAAAAAAGTCTAAAATAGATACGATGCAGTTGCAGCTTTCGTTTGGGTCATAACGCAAGCCTATATTTGGGTAAGCTACTATTTTGCTCGTAAACTTACGATCGTTTAAGTAGGGTTGGAAGCCATCTTTTCGCCAATTTGTTGAAAAACCCTACATCGCTTAGCTACTCTCTCGATTTTCAGTTCAATTAAAGTAGATTTGTATTTCATTGCTAGGTTATACATATGTATATATTTTTCAACCGGGTATAATTTTTTAATGCGATTCCAGAATAATTTCAGATAATTTAAGGTCACTTTAGACACCTATTGTTGTTGTAACCGCAAAATTATTCCCCAAAGTACTTTTTGGGGAATGTTGCGGGAGTGACAGTCCTTATCCGGATAAAAATCCGGGTTGTTCCGGTATTTTAGTCGCCTCTTACGACAGGCATGCCTTACCGCTGGTAAATTCTTGAGCCCCTAACCCGCAGGGGGTACTTTAGACACCTAATCAATTACGCTTACAAGGGTGAAACCCAAAAAATTTAAGCAAACGAACTAAAAATAATTAACCAAACAGAAATTTTTAGGAAAAATAGATAGAGAGACAAGAGCATGACCGAACGTGATAAGATTTGCGATTCCACTTTGGGACCTAAAGCCCACTCTTTTACATACATATATGTATAAACATATATTTTTATAACAAAATTTATCTATTAATGACATATACTCATTTACATATATACATACACGTACGTATGCCGAAATACTTGCTGCAAATGACCTCTCAAAAAGGCCATACAATGCACACACAGAAAAGCGAGTCAATTAAAATTCATTTAATTAAAAACAACAACAATTAAATTCTCAAATACTTAAAAGCCCACAAATTTACTTTGGGCTTAATTGCGCTAATTGAATTGAATTTTTAGTTGCCTAAATATTAATGCGTACAACCGAAAATAAAATCCTAAAACAATGGCAATTACAATACAAACACCCATATATATGTGTGTATGTATGAATGTATGTGTATACTCGTACCAAAATGCGAACGTAGCAAAATCAAGGCTAAAAATGTGGTGAGTTTAATTGCAAATACACACATTTGTATACACATACACACGTACA